AAAAAAACCCAAAAACAACCCCAGATTTTCCTGTGATAATTCCAAGATAATTTCCCAGAAGAATTCCTGACTTATTGAAACATACTACACTGGTWTGGGACAGCACTTTTGTGCTGCTGTTCAGTGCACAGTGACGTGTTTCACAAGGATGCTACATGTAAATGTAATCAAACAGAGCTCYGCTGAAAGGTGGGCATTAAACTCTGACATAGGATGCCGAATGTAAATATCCTGTAAGTCTTCTACTGCCTCTGTGAAACCAACATGTCTTCTGTTTAAAGATTTACCAGCTACTAGCATAACATGTTATAATTTTCAAGGAGTGGCTAAAAGACAAACACTTAGCCTCACGCTTCAAATGTCTCCAGCAACCCTCAGGAAACTGAGCTATGGGTGTGACCCATGCCACCTGTCCATAGGAAAATTGCTATCCTTTTGGCTGTAGGAAAATTAATGCCTCTAGGACTTCTGAAGCTAAGACCACTAAATAATAATCTCTAACCCTGTGATGCAAAGCCCTACACAAAACAGAAGAAACAGAAAGGGCTACTTAATTCAGATACACAGAGAAAATCAAATTCAATTCAGTAGACGTACTGTGTGTTAAAAAGATAGATCCATGCCTTAGAAAAGAGAAAAGGCACAGACACATGCTGTTACTTGTCTCCAATTACACTTATTAATGCCGCAGTCACACAGGCTTCACTCATCCTCTCACAGTCCCACCACCCTGGCTGCTTTCTGGGGAAGCTGCATGAAATCAGCCCAGCCAGTGCAAATCTTGCGCAGAGACTTAGTCAAGCCACCTTTTTCTGAGACTTAGTCCTGTGTACCTGTTTCACACCTGCTGCCTGTAAAGCCAGGGGGACATTTACAAACGTACGAGTTCAAGGCATCCACACAGGTGGCTTGGTTTAAGCAGGGACTGGAGTCACAGTCGTTGATGTTCACTTCACAGGTCAGTCCTGTGTACCCTGTCACACACAGACACCTATGGAGGAAGAGAAGCACAATTCAAAGGTGACAGCCGTCATAATGAAGAATTCTGGCTATAAGGCCAGATCTGCCAGTGAGAATGGTATATAGTAATAATGATAATAATAATAATATCAACAGACGATATACTACAAATTTTATTTTATGGAATTTTATTTTGGCCATTCCCCTTAACCGTGTTTGTATTCTACTAACTGCGTAATGTCACTGTTAGACAGGGACAATACAGCTATTTAAACAGCCTGCATTTCTTCATACGAAATTGGGAGACACAATAATTGCACTTCCATGAGTAAAACATACCTCCTAGGCACAGAGAATTAAAGATGAGAGGTACTCAACTTTTCAGATAGATACATTTATATGTAGGGGAAACCAGGACGGTGTAAAGACACCACAACTGGGCATATAGTATACAGTATTACCAGCTACATAATTGGTGATCATGTATTATTCCAGTAAAAAGCAAGACAAGCCCCTGAAGTCTGGGAAAATGGACACCTTTTGGAAGCTCAATGTTAAAACTATGCAGTCCTACCAAGCTTACATTTCAAACCCTGCATATTTTCTTTACTGTTTTCCTTGGAATTTTTTAAGAGTCAAGACACTAGGATACATTTTCTTGTCTTTTAAAATGTCTCCTGGTGTTTCATAAACAGATCACTTGTTTTGGATCAGGCTGCCAAAATGCTTGCTGAAATCTAAGAAGGCTGAGGCACCACAACATGTCTGACTTTCCACATTGTACTATATGAATCATCTCTTTTTCACCTGAAGCTGTTGTTACCATCTCTGCATGTGGCTCCATTCCTACAGGGTCTGCTGAGACACTCATCAATGTTTCTTTCACACAAGACACCAGTAAAACCTGGGAGACACTTGCAGGAGAAACTTCCAACTCGGTCTTCACAAACAGCCCTATTGAGACATGGGTTTGAAAGGCATTCATTCATCTCCCTTTCACAGTGATCACCTGAGAAAAAAAAGAACAAAGTAACAGCTCTGGTTTGAATTAACCTAAGAAAGAAGATTATTAACCTAGCTCTGTGTTTTAAGGACTGTAACTCATCTGCTGAGAAAAAACACACATCAGAGTAGCCACGAAGGTTTGGGATTTACTCCATTAACAGAGGCTAAGTGGACAAGGAATAATTAAGGGAACCGCTTAACAGTTATAGAAATAACATTTAGCAAACTGTCAAATTTAAACATGACTAATTTTGGGGGAATCAGGAAATCACCTCAGAAACTATTCTGAGCGACTGATGAAAAGCAACTAATAAAGACATTTGGCTGAAACCTTAACTGTAAGGATAGATGTGAAAGCCAGAAACACATGATTCTGTGATTTCTGATGTGAAAGAGACCTATGTCAAAAGCACTGAACCTGCATATGATTTTATAATGGAGCTCTTCGGCAACAAGGTAATCCACAGATATGTGATTTGTTACAGAAATCTATGAAAGCTGAATATGGGACCAGGGAGCAGTTTTGATATAGACAATCCTATCTACTGTTATTATATTTTAATTTTTAAATAAAATTGAAAATAACAATTTGAACCTATGAGAATGTTGTTTTTTCATTCCTTAACATCACACAGCAAGTTCATGGCAAAACTAGTAATTGAAGATCTAGCACTTAGTAAATCCTTCTGAAGTCACATTACACTMCAGAGTGTCAGAGAATAGATGGACTTAAGGAACATCCWCCCCACTACACTTGTATCAACATAYATTATATATATATTGCAATATAGAAATGAGATGGAAATACTTTGGGTAGGGTAGGAAGACACAATTTTTGGTCAGAAAGAATAAAGGCTGACTTAAACAGAGCAAGGTGTACCTGTGAACCCTTTTGCACACGTGCAGCGGTAACCATTCTTGCCATCAACACAGTGGGCTCCATTCAAACATGGACTGGAGCTACATTCATTGATGTCTTCCTCACACAAGAGACCTTCAAACAGCAAGGATTACAAGGCATGATCAAGACACAATCATAGATTGTATGCTGCAGTGACTGGACATGGAAAACAGAATAATATCATACTGTGACAAAAGATTACTGAGGGTGGGTGATAAAATTCCAAGCTTGACTGCACGACTGCAAGAGCTACAGAGATCATCTGTGTTATTTAGATGCTGGGATAAAGATGCTTTGTGTGMCTTTATGAAGTTTAAAATCCATCCAGCTAGTGTTGCTGTCAATAAATGTATAGTCATAAACATGAACAATGAGGGAGACTATTTCTAGTAGAAAACACAAAGCTTTTTTTTTTTTTTTTGATTTCACAGGATTATGTCCTCAATAATTTATTTCAATATTGAGAAACCAAGTGCTGTTTTGCCAAGTACTCAAGCACGTTAGTTTCCCTGCAGGTTTCAATACCTGTAATGTGCACGCAGGTCAGTTAAAAACCCTGAGAAAAAATACAGGCAGAAGCTCACTCATTCATACGGCTGCAGTAAAGCAACTGCATAAATGCTGTGTCTAGTTGGGCAGTCAATCTCACAAGCACTTGCCCTGTTAAGAGTTTACTAATTCCCTAAATCTTATTCCATTTTTCAGACCAGAAATGTCACAAAATAGAAGGATACATGCACACACATAGACACACATACACACACTTCCACACCCAGTCCTTGGACACTCATCCTTTTATTTCAAAACATATTCATGTATAGCAGAAACTTACTCTAACCTGTAGATCAATTGTTTTCCTGTTGTAATTCCATGGGTACAGAATTACACAGCATTTGYATTTTGTGTTATTTACTTGGTACAGAAACCATGCCTGTCTGAAGAAAAACTATGAAGTGAAACAAATTACCTGAATAGCCTGGTTGACAGTGGCAAACAAAGGTCCCAATGCCATCTTTGCATATTCCATTGTTTTTACAAGGAGATGATTTGCACTCATCAACCTGTGTTTCACATTTCAAGCCTAGAACGCAAAATAAAGGACTGAGATTAGGAAGACAAAATTTGAAATTGTTCAGAAACATTGATGCCATAATTACCAAATGCAGGAAAACATGACTAATGAATTGGCTACATTACCAGACATTCAGGTTTATTGTCTTCTCATTGATTGTGTGTTGAAACAGACAAGAGACAAATGCTGTTACAAAGGTGYGATACACACTGCGCAACAGACTGATAAGTTCCAGGTAGTGACACTTAATACATATTTAAAGTAACTTCTTGATAACAGCTGAATTGTAAGACATCTTTTTGCTTTGAAGCAACTGGGAACCTAACACTGAAGAATAATATAGGCTCAGTACAGGTAGAATCAGCTGTTGAGAGTGAAATTTCTAGCTTTTGTTAATAATAAATATTGCCAAGTGATAAGATTTTCACATCCATGAACTTTATTAAAAGAAATCCCATTCAAAATCTTCTCTGCAAAACACAAAATTATTCAGCAAGAACATGAGGATGCATCCTTTTTCTTACATTTTCTAATATTGAATATTCCAATTAGTTAGGCCATGCTGAAATGCTTTGCTCCTTTACACTTCCTCATTTTAGGAGCATCAGGAAATACTAGCCACTTCACCTGCTTCCCATTTTTTTACCTGTATATCCAAGTGGGCATATGCAAATATATCCACTTCCCAGTTGCTTGCATGTCCCATTATTGTGGCACGGTTCCAGAAAACACTCATGAAAGACCTGCCAAAGGTACACATGACACAATTACAGCAAAGCTAGCACATAATAATCTAGTTTTAAACTGTATACCCTACAGTCATTTTGGAAAGATGGGGAAAAAAAAAGTCACCAGAATTAGCTTCTAGTTCCTTCTCTTTGTCTTTTCAGCACACCACCCATTTTTGGTTTTTTCTTACTGAAAAAATACCACAAATCTGAAAAATTATTTTAAAATTACCTTGTACTTAGYAAAATTCTCTCAAAGCTGAGGTATGATTCACAGTTTACATTAAGCTATGTTTTATGTGCAAGTTCTTCACCTTGCATCCTTCTATTTCAGCTAATCATTTCCTGCTACTGGCCATCAGGTGAGCTGGCAGAGAACTTCACCATGCGGCACTATTTCTCCTGTTCCTGCAAACCTGAATTCATCAAAGCCCTTGACTACATGGTCAACTAAAACCACAGGAGGTCAGTTTGTCACCTGTCCCTATATTATATAATGGTTCAAGCCAATATGTCATTATTCAGACCAAAGAGTCAACTCTGCTGTTGTTAACACCATATCCCAAATTCCGATTCAATCAAGGCAGACTTGTCAAGAGTTACAGAACGAGCCTGAGAGGATGGGGGCAAGGAGGCTGCTCCAGCAAACATTGTCCCTAGACTAGCTGTACATGAGGACTTGCCTGTATTTCAGAGGGGGTACTCACAAGAGAAGGGAGCTCTGATTGCCTCCTCGCTACGTTACACTATGCAAACCCAAGGTTCTACATCTGAGACTTAAGACATCTGGTAGCATTTTCTAGAATTCAGCATAGAGAAGACCTCAGATGAGTGAACACAGTCATCTACTTCTTTCAGCTTGTCTGAACCTCTTCCAAAAACTTTTCTTTAACAAGTATAGTAAGTATACATCAGGTAAAGGTTTCAAGTCCGGAATTTAGAATTGTCAACAGCTAATGCCACTTCCTCTGTTCAGTGAAAGTGCTTCTATGATTACAAAGACAGTTTGAGTGTTTCCCTCTTTTTGAAGAAGGACCATTGCTTTCATCTCGTCAGGAAATATAGTCAGCAAAAGAATTACATTTAAAAGGTCTTACTTGTTTACTGCTGCATGAAGTGCTTTTTCTTTCATTTGAGATAACACTGGAAAATAACACTTGTCCTTACCTGACTGCTGACTTTGTGCCGCTTGCTGATACTTTCTGGGAAGGCTGGTACCATCATTATACTTTCCTCAGCTGCTGAAAAAGTAGAGCCAAAACCTAAAGACATGAAAGTACTGTTAATAACACTGCGTAGCAAAGTCCCTATTCCACGGGGGCATTATAACTGCGTGTTAATAATGCWTTTAAAGATGCTGAAGAAAGGTGAATTTATGGGAACAAAAAGCAAACTTTACCATAACCATTACACAAATACATATTTTTAAGGACATATGCTTCTAATACATATATACCTATGTTCTATTTTATATATTTTTATATACAGGTAYATGCATGCATATAAATATTACTGTATATTTATACATAATTGTCTCTATAGCATATATGTGTAGCACACATAGACAGCGTACACACATACACTGCATATTTATACTCTGTTTATTGAGCCTCGCCATGTGTCAGAGTCACTCTGAAAAACAGAGGCAACACCAGTAGGCAGAACCAGCCAGGAATTTCACTGGGTGGAATCCAAGGCCTACATTTGTCCAGAGAGTGAGTGGGATGTTTTCTGTTAAGATAACTTCTGTCTATCCTTTAGATGTTCCCTTTATTCACTTTTTCCAGCAGAGATGATCTGGCTTACTTGAACAATCTGTGATGGATCTGGCACCAATAACAGTTGTTGTTCCATAGAAAGGACAAGACAAGCAGTAGGACTTTCCGGGGTCTGGCTGATAGTAGTCTCTGGGACAAGGGTAGCATGGAGTCAAACCTGTGCGAGAGAACTCGCCTGCAAGACACGGTACTGCAAGAGCAAAAACACCTTTTTTGAGTGGTCTGCACCTTACCTCCCTCCACCTCTTTTTATCACTTTCTCATCTCCTCTCATAATCTTTTAAGTCTCTTAGACGTAAAAGAAATAGGATGAAATCTGCCAGGAATTCACAACTCTAGGAAATGTCAGTTTGAAATCTGTGAGGTGTCATGTTGCTCTCAAAGGGTTATGGAAATATCTGGAAAGTATTAAAGTATTTCATTTTACTACTTTTGCGGCTCCAGGGGCAGCTTTTAAATGAAACTTCCCTCCTACCTCTTATACATTTTTTTTTGTTTGTTTGGGTCTTTGTTTGCTTGTTTTGATTTTTGTTGTCTTTTTTCCCCCTTCCAGAAGGAGTAAGGACAAAGACAAGACTTTTTTGCACTCTGAATCTTTACAGACTGCTTCCCTGGGAATTCTTCCAGTAAAACTTGCAAAGACAGTTGAGGAGAATTTCTTGAAACAAATTACAGAGCAAACTGTGTTAAAATTCAGAATTTATGTACAGAAAATGAGGGAGTGATAATAGTGACAATTCCCTTTCTCTTCTGTAAGAAAAAGGGTTTTATTCTCATCTAGGTACCCTTCATATATCTCATTTTATTTCTCATTATATATGGATCCATCTTGATAATCAGAAGGAGGGCAATTTGTAACAGGAAATGACCTATCATTTTGCTGGGAAATGTTGCTTGGACTGTACCTAACCAGAAAAGGAATTCAGGAAGATGAATCTCAGGAAGATGAATCAGATGACATTAGCTGGTGTTTAAACAACAATTTGGACATGTTTAATATTTAGTTAAAAAAAAATTCTTCATCCTCTTTTGTTACAAACCTCCACAAGCTGAGACATCCACTGCTCCCCTTTTTACTGTTGATGTATTTTCTGGACAAGAGATGCAATTCCTGGATCCAAACGATGGCTGATATGTTCCAAGTGGACATGTTTCACATGTCTCAAGACCATTGGGTGAATATGTTCCCTGCTTGCACTGAGCTATAAGGCAAAAGAATTCAGGAAGATCAAGCAATGCCCAACAGAAAACATGGCTCCTGCTCTCTGAAAATAGCGTTGAAATCCCAATAAACATCACAAGGAATTTAATTATTTCTGGAGCTTACTCTACTCTGAAGGACTTCATGGGTACAAAGAGAAAAAAAATAACAGAAATTGTGGTAAGGCACCRATAGTGCATTTGTGAATTATTAACCAGTGAATTCTCTTTCAATCAGCTTCACAGATGATTTAATGCAACTCAGTTGCTCATTTTGATCAACAAAACTAATGGCAATGAYGACAATCAAAATGAAATCCAACTAGCTATACCCTTTTTAGAAGAAGATACGAACACATAGTGGTTGTGTGCTGTTCAATGCCGCAGCACCATGGGGTAGGATAGGGAGGGACTGGCAAGGATGAAAATGGAATTATTTTAAGTGTATTAGTCTCTAAAAAATGAGCTTCCGAGCTCAAAAGTTAAATACAGAAAATAAAGAAATGAAACAATGCATCAAAGGCCAACTCTTCCCAAAACCTCTGCCCAGGCATCCTGCATGCCAGAGCAGTGGCGAAAACTTAGATTCTTCTCTATGCATATGCATCAAGGTGCAATTAGGACTGTTCCCCACTTCACAGGCTATTTTCATTCCAGTACTTCCACCAGGGGGACCAAAAGGATATCACCAAAGGTTTAGAAGTGGTGGTCTGAGTAAAAAAAAAGTTCTCACCTTTGCACTCAGAGATGCTTCTAGAGTGTAGGTACTCAGTATAGCTACCAGATGGACAACTTTTGCATTCCAGCTGCCCTTCCTCATCTTGATAGGATCCAGTCCAGCAGCTTTCACAGGYAAGATGCTCCAAGGAGTAATAGGTACCCAAAGGGCAGTTGACTGTAAYGTAACATCAGAAACGTAAGTTTCCTTCAATGTAAAATCATTMAAACCTGTCTTGCCCCTGGAGTTCCCATTTAGTCAAACAATGTTTTTATGAAATGTGACCTTGTTCCTCAGAAGGCAGGGTATCTCTCTGGAACACTGCAAAGATTTAASTAAACACAGGAAATGGAATCCGATTCCCTATCTTAGCTCCACATCACTCACAGGACTAACAGTGCTATAAGACTGCATATCAAGCACTGTTTTGTCTGTATAACCAAGCATGAATATGCCTGATTTCCCCCTGGGAGTGGAATCCTGGGTACAAAAGCATCCCTTTTCCATAACCTTGGTTAAGAACATAAACATCCTCTGGAAGCCAAACTGCGCAACGCATTTTTGCAGTTTATTGTTATGGGAGACCACAAGCACTGGACTGTGTCAAATCATAATCCTCTGCAAATATCCTCTAAAACCTTGTTTTGCAAAAGGATTTTCAATACGCATAAGAAACAAGTCATCTGCTTACCACACATTCTCCCTCTCAGCACAGAACCAGGCCTGCAGAAAAGAAAGGCCTTCTCTGTCTCCAGTGAGTTGGTGTCAGCTACAATGAGTTCGGATGCAAACTGAAAAGAATACATGGGTTCCTTATTGAGAGTTCTATTCAGCCTGTTTGTGATTGTTTCCAGAGTTTTAAGGAGCCGTCTCTGGTTCTCCAGCTCCAATGTATCGTTCCTTTCATCGGGCAGGGGCACGCTAGCTGGAATACAAACAGCAAACAGAAAAAACACACACGTTTTGCAGTCAGCACTTCCAGCGTACTCTGGGATGTATCAAGAGTGCAACACTCAAGCTTGTCAGTGCAAAGTGAAAAGGAGGCCATGTGCACAAAGCCCTCCATGAATATGAGGCCATGATCTTTCCCTCAAGAAGAAGATCTCTGATGAAATGGGGCTGTGAATGTGTCCAGAGAGTTGCCATCTGCATCTTCACCAGGCTTCTGTGAGCCAAAGTTTTTCTGAATGTATCAGAAATACTATCTTTAAAAAGAAGAAAGCAGAGTTTGATGCTTTGACTTGTCTCACCTGTGATGTTAAATATTAACTTGATTTTTTGGTCAGTCATTGGAACATTTAGCTTGTGCCTTTTGACCCGAGCAGGGGCTGCTTTTACAGAGGCAGAGAGATGCTTGGRTAAGTCTTCTCCTTGTACTGTATCAACAAAATCACCATAGGAATAATCCAGGTGATTTGCTGTTCCCCAGCCAGCAGGTCCTGACATTAAGAGAGAACAAAAAGAAAAGCAACATCATGTCRAAAATAAGTACCTTTAATTATTTCTAAAATACAACTCCAACAGAATGGGGTCTGCTTGAAGTTCCAGATGATGTGTGTTAACTTTGCCTCTGCACAAGTGCCTACTGTATTTGCCTTTTTACTAATGAAAAAGAAAAATGCAATCATCTCAATCCTAACCAATATCCTAGAGGTCCTGAGTCTTTTGCAGGAGGCCAAAGCTTTAAAGAGCTAGTTATAAAAGTAACACGCTGCAATTCTTTCTCTTCCTCTTGCATGAGCCCTAACGTGTACCCTCACCTGCCACCA